GGGGGGGGGGGGAGCGGGGGCTACATAGCAAGCAAGTTCCGGAACAGCCAGGGCTACATAGAGAGACCCTGTCTCAAACAAATAAACAAACAAGCAAATAACAACATGCTTTATGAAGTGGGACTGCTACAGAGCAGACCTTCTGCTCTGTGAATGTGCTCCTGGGTTACCCAGCACTTGGCAATCCTGGTGCGCATGTCCACCCCCACATGTCCTTTGTGACTCTTACTGGTGCATAGAATCCCAACGCCTGAGCACAGCTGCTGGTCCCTACCCATCCAGGAGGGGGTGCTATCTAGAGATGTGCCAGGGTCTCCAGGAAGCCTGGGCACTGTGAGAGCAGGTGGGAAGGATGGAACCCCTGGGGCAGGAGATACAGACTTTAGGCAAAAATGTCAGTTTGTCTGTGCTGTGGTTTCAGTGTGAGGCATATAGTGGCATCCACTCCAAGGACACCTGCAAGGCTCCTTAGGCATGTATGGAAGCCTTAGGCATAGTGCCCATATTCAGTGCAGAACTTGACCCAGACACAAAGTCCACTTGCCCCCAAGCTCCACTCTGATGTACTGAAGCTAGCTTCAATGCCTATAAGCAAAGCCTATACCTCCTCAAGATGACACCCACTTGTGGATGAGGCCTTACACTCCAGTGTGGTTGTTCAGAGAATCAGCAAGTGCCTTGGATCCTGCACGGGACACACAGGGACTCTGCCACCCCCCCACCCCCCCGCCCCCAAGGCCTTGGCAGCAGGGAGGACACAGCCTTCCTCAGACATGGGAGATGCTCACCGTTCTATGAGGCGGTTGTTGTCCTGGAGGTCAAGGGCCAACAGCTTCATATCATTACAGAGCTCCTGCATGCTGTCCAAGGAAGAAGAAGGGGTGGCTGAGGCCCAGTCACTTGGCCCAGAGCCCACTTGCAGAGGCCATGGAGCCGCCTCTTGGCCTGGCCTGGCATGAGATGAAGCAAAGGGTATTAACCTCAGCACCCTCCTTCCCCCAACTCTCCAGCACTCACTGGAAGACCAGGTCCTTTGGGTCAGAGCTGGGATGGGGAGCCATGGGGTGTGGTGAGATCTGAGTCCCCGGTGCTCTGTCCAGAAGGAGACGATCAAGGATCTGAAGGGAAGTCATGCGTTAGTCAGGAAGGACCTGTCTGTCTACGTACGGCTGGGTAGGGGAACTGCTGAGGAAGGGTAACACATCTCCCTAGAGGCCCTGGAACAATCCAATATTTTCAACATGTAGTTCCTTCATCCTGGGAGTATCCTACTGGTGTCACTGCCTTCCCTCATTTGTACTGAACTGAATAATTCAGTCCGCCAAGTTTCCCTTTGGCTCTAACCTAAACCTCTCATGACACAATCTGAGCCACAATTTGGGATAGAGGCCATTCCTGGCCAGTCTCCAAGGTTGCCCACATCGCACACTGGCAGCCACATATAGCTCTCTCCTAGAAGGGGCCCGCTCTGTATTTCGAGTGGCCAGCTGGCCAGCTGCTTGGCAGAAAGTGACTCAGAAGGCCAAGGAGAGCTCCCACAAGCTCCCAGGAGCAGCCTAGGCTCTCCAGGCTGCACAAAACTGGCAGATGTCCTAGCAGCAGGAGCTTACTGTGGTTTTCAGTCTGAAATCACTAGGAATGTTCCTATCTCAGGGCACATCTGTAGGTCAGAGACCTCCACCCCTCATGGGCATCCCTGAGTTGGTCAAGGCTGCTCTGTCCACTGGCAGAAGTGATCTGAATGCCTGCTCCCTTCAGCAGCCCCCAGGACCCCCAAAGCACCCACACCTTGCTCAGGCTGTCTCGGGCTTCTGTGTTACAGCCAGCCACAGATCGGCCAATGAGATGCAGGTGGTTCTTGGCCTTCTGCACCTGCCTTATGAGAAATGGAGAAGATTACAGCAGGCCATGCTCTCCACAGCTGGGACTCTCCAGCTGGTGTCAGCTCATCAGGGGTCCTAAGCATTATCTCTTACCTGCTGTGTTGTTCACAGTTGCCCCTGGGAACTGAGCGAATCCCAAGAGAGCCAGGACAAGGATCAGTAACAACACCCATGTGGATGTAACTGACTCACTCAAGTTGTTATGGCAAGCCTAGAGCCAGGTAAGGCATGAGAGACAGATGACAGCCCAGGCTAGCCCACTTATGTGAGGACAGGCAGCGCACACTAGAGCATTTATGTGAGGGATGTCCGTGCTTCCATTTCCATAACAAAGTAAGGGCAAGACTTGGGAATTCTAATCTCTAATCAGAGGGCACATGGGGACATTCCCCATTGCACAGAGTTCCAGGTCCATTAAACCAACAGTTGGTTCTCATTTCTGAATACACATTAGGATCATCAGGAATGGCCTTAAACTAACATATAAGACCTGCCTGGCCCATCACCTCAGTGTGCTGGGGGCTCCCAGGCTTTGTATTCTATTATGAGGATGAGAGGAACGCAGCCCCATGACAAGGCCACAGGCCTCACAGCACACAGAAAGCCATCCTTTCTTCTCAGGGGCCCCAGGAAAATGTAGCAGGGGACCATGGGACATGAAGAAGGAGTCCCAAACTCCAGAATAGTGTGAGAGAGGGCACATTAGTGGGCGATGCCTGGCCCTGCTTCCCTGCCGGTTGAAGTCCACTTGTTTCTCTTCCTCCCTAGGGGAGGTACTGTTCCCCCTAGAGAGGAGAGCCCACCACACCAGACAGAGATAGCAAGGAAAACCCAGATTTTAGGGGCACCTCGACCCATGTTCTAGTCCCCAGTCTGCTATTTATTAGCTGTGTGGGTGGCATTAGGAAGAGACCAGTTCTTGGAGCCTCGGTCCCCTCATCTGAAAGGTGGTGATATTTGCTGTGTAAACACTGTGGAACCAAACAAGCACATTTGTAGAAATCACTCAGCAGACCACCTGGCCCATGTGTTTTTTCACTTCTCACAAACTTCTTTCCTACTTAGGTCCAACAGAGACGGGGTGGGGGGGGTCCTCTGAGGTCTGGAAGGGCTGGGCCAGTCCCGGCTCCATGAGCTTAGAGGATCAGAGGTGGGGTTAGGCTGCTTACCTTATCCGCTTGCCATGTGTGACCAGCGATACTTGATACTTCTGCACGCATTCCTCCTGGAACACCTGCAGCAGCCTCTTGGCTAAATGGCTAAAATTCACCCTGGAAGGACAGAGACCCCAAGACCTAGAGGTGAGCAGCTGGAGCCACCTGCATGCAGACATAGCCCTTCCACCACTACCCATCACAAACACCAGCCCCTCAGCTCGCAGCAGGGACACCTCTCAGGAAGAGAGCTCAGAGGCCAGTAAAGCCACATGTCCCAATAAGGAGGCAGGGGAGGCCGATATGGTGGTCTGTGAATGCATACACTCTCAAACTTGATCTCTGGGAGAAGGAAGGATATACAGCTATGGAAAGCTTGTGAGTATGTTTTTTTTTTTTTTTTTTTGTGTGTGTGTGTGTGTGTGTGTGTGTGCGCGCGCGCGCGCGCGCGCGCGTGCACACGAGCGCACGTGCTCACATGTGCAGGAGTCAGAGGTGGTATAGCTCTGGGGGAAAAAAATCCCCAAACAGCCACCAGATCAGGGAACCTGGTGGAAGATGTGGGTGTCCAGAAAAGGTGTCAATGAGAAGAAGCCAGGCAGGCCCAGGCCAAGCTTAAGAGCCGCAGCGAGTGGGAAGAAGCCAGCCAATGAGAATAATTCAAGAGAAAAATTCTACAAACTTGTTCACAACGGGAGGAAAGCCAGTGAGTTACATCAAGGTTGACTGTGTGAAGCCCCTGACTCAGCTGTTCTGTGTCCCACCCCTGACCCTATACAACCTGACTTGCATCTTGATCCCCTTGGCCCCTTTGCCCCAGCCAAGGGTCAAAGCGCTGCAGTGTGTCCCTCCTGGAATGAAGACTCGCTCTACCCCTTGACCCCCACCCTCCTGCCACCTGCCTGCCAGGGAACAGCCCACTCACTTATCCAGCTTGTGGATTTGCTCCTCATTGTAGCTGAGTCCTGAAGGAAACAGATGGGGATGATGTCACCACTCAACTAGTCAACAAAGCAAACGAAAAAGATGAAGACAGCCTAGGGTGGTGGCTATTTTATGGGATCTCAGGCCTAGGGGAGCCAGGAGGGGCTGAGGACGTGGAACATCACGTGACTAGGACAACATTATTATAGTGACCGGATGACTATGATTTAGGGACAAAGGAGCTGAGGAGATATGTTATGGGGCTCCAGAGGGAGGCAGACCTGCTGGGTGTGTGTGTGTGTGTGTGTGTGTGTGTGTGTGTGTAAATAACCTGGGAAATGTAGGTGGGAATGCTGGGTGAAATGGTCCTCATGGGATGCTGCCATGGCCCTGCAGCACCACACTTTCCAGCTGGCAGCTGGTTGGCTCCATCCCTGGGTTACTTACAGGTAGGCCACCACCTTCTAGCTCTCCCTCTCTGCCCAGCAACTTTTTTCAGAGGAAACAACTTTGGGTAGATATGTCCTTGCCTGGACCTAGACTACCACCCAAAGACCCAAAGACTGTAAAGCTCATGAGGTGAGACTTCCCCCTGCTGGACCTTGAGGGGATGGGTCTCCAGAACAGTGGTAGCCCCAAGATGCTGGTTTGCCCTTCCATTTTCCCATTCCATCACCCCAATAGGAGAATCCCCTTCCTGGGCCTGCACTTGTGGAGGTCAGGACACCTGAACACATCCCAGCCCTTCCTGCTTCTAGAAGGCTGCTGTGTACAAATGACTTGGCTTTAGAGTTAGTTGTGTGTTCGTCATGTACACACATGGATGCCTATGTGGATCACAGGAGAACGCCCTGAAGAGTGTCAAGCAACCTTCCAGAATGGTGTCCTGCGACACTCCGTCATGCTGGCAGTTATTCTATTTATAATAAAGTACGCTGAAAATACAGTAAACATGGGAACTCTCGAGGCTGTGAAATGGGCTGGTTAAAGAAACTGGACCTAGAATAATTGAGCTAATTAGCCTTTCTGTGCCTCAGGTTCCCAAACTAGAAAATAAGGAAAGTTGAGATTCATAGAGGGTTGCTGTTGTTTATTTGGTTGTGTTTGAGACCGGGTCTCTCTATACAGTCCTGGCTGGCCTTGAACTCACTATGTACACCAGACTGGTTTCAAACTCACAGGTATCTACCTGTCTCAGCCTTTTGAGTACTGGGGTCAAAGGCAAGCACCACCACACTCGGTCATGCATAGTTTTATGAGCACTAAAAAACTCAAAGACGAATGGAGTCCTTAGGTCAGTATCTAACATCAAGGCACCACTTTAAAGCTTGGGTGTTAGGATGGCAGAGTTCCAGACACGGAGGTAGACAACCTTCCTGGCTCTCCTCAAACCACAGCAGTGGCCAGCTGGGTATAAGACCATGGATGAGCCCCAGGTCCCACTGTCCCCAGGGACAGGAAGGCTTGCCTTCCCCATCCCCTCTGAGGCCTGACTCCAAAGGAAGATGAAGGCCCCAAAGGAGAGAAGTCACGTTCTGTAGATCCCCAAGTCCTCCTTGGTGACCACCAGACACAGATGGCTAAGGAGCACCTGACATGTGGCCAAGGTGACTGAAGTGCTGGATTTTTAATTGAATACACTCAATTAAGGTAAAATTTAAAACTGAAGCAGGGTGAAATGCTTTTTTTTTCCTGCTAAGAACAGCTCTACAATTTTGTTAAGACTTACCATGTTTACTGAACACTTGTCTTCTAGACAGAGATATAAAATATAAAATACAGATGGGATTTTGAAAAGGAGCATAGAACAACTCTTTAGTGGTTTGTTTTATATTGGGTTTATGCCAAAATGACATTAGGATATATAGAATAAGATAAAATAAATTAATTTCACCTGTGTTTTCTTTTTAATTTGATGGTGAGAAAACAAACTACACATACGGTTAGATGCTGTGGCTCTCCTAACAGTGAGCTATATGCGTCACAGATTATCCTGGGGCCAGAAGGGCACTAGGCAATGAGGCAGATATGGAAATATTTGGAGCATAGGGTGGGGTCAGGGAGTGAGCTCTGGCATGCTAGCTCCCTAGCTAACTGGGGCTTTTACTCTCAGGCTCCTCCAACTAACTCCATCCCCACCCTTCCCCAGGTTCAAGCCTACTCCACCCTCATCCAACTCAGACAAGCAGGTTTCCATTCCTAAGCCTGTGAAGCATTGTCCCCACCCAGAAGGTCTTTGTGGGCATTTGAAGATAATGTAAGAAATCACCTAGTCCAGGAATGCTAATGGGAATTTCTTTTGGTCCCCCATTCTCAGACAAACTGTGTCTTTGGGTGGTCCAAAGACATGGTGGAAGGGCTGGGGAGACAGGCCAGTGAAGTGCTACTGTGCAGTGTGGAAACTAGAGTTCAGATCCTCAGTGCCCATGGAAATGCTGGGCAGGTGCTGTGGCCACCTGTGACCCCAGTGCTAGGCAGGTGGAGACAGGCAACCCCCAGAATAAGCTGGTTAGCTACATTAGCGAAATTGGTGCGCTCTGAGTTCAATAGGAGAGCCTACCTTAAAATATAAAATGCAAAGCAATGGAAGAAGAAGAAGAAGCCTAGTATTAATGTCTGGCCTCCATAACAGGTAAACACACATGCACAAGACACATGCATGTGAAAGATGAGCTCTCAAGCATACACACACTCATACACCCCCACACCCCCCCCCCAACACACACACAAACAAAAGACACAGTAGACAGGAAAACATTTCTTAGAGCGTTCTGACACGGTAAGGGGCTCCTCCCCAGGCCCCTTTCCATATTGCCTAGACTCCTGCTCACTGTACCCTGCATGCACAACAGCCAAGCTCCTCTCATGACAGTAGCCTACAGGTAACATGCAGACGGGGACTCCCCTGCCCAAGACCAGCTGCACCCTGGCTTCAGGCAGTGTTATACAATACACTCCGTGAGCCTCCAGCCAGGCTGGGTAGGTGGGAGGGAGACGGGAAGGAGGGCTCCTAGTAGCTGGCTCTCTCCAAAGCTCACCTGGCCTCATCCTAGCTTTGTTGAACTGCTTGTAGATGAAGTGCATCTTGTCCAAACAATACCGAATCTTCTGGATACTGTGGGCAGGAAGCGGGAATACTCAAGCATGCTGTCTCCCTGCCACAGAGCAGGGTGGGGTGTGACCTGGGGGGAGTGCAGGAACCCAGCCTGTCTTTAAGCTTATTTAGATAATTTGGATCAAGTTCTCCTTCTCTATTCTAGACCTGTCTCTCTCTCTGCATCTCTCCCTCTGTCTCTCCTTCCTTCCCTTCCTTCCCAGCCCCCACTCCCCCAGCAGGTGAAACAGAGAGTCTGGACTGGGTAAAAGGGTCTATATTCTTATATAGCTGCTCTGTTGGAGGAACTTAGTGAGTCAACAGTTCTACCTAAAGCAGTGATGAATCCATGGTCCCCTGGAGGCAGGGGGATGGGATGGGAAGTACCCTTTCAAGGACCTTGTCAATCTGGGATTTAATGTCATTTCTTCCCCTTGCTTTTCAAGCTGGATACAGCTGCTTCCTTCAGGGACCTAGGAAGTCCTTCCTCACCCTTAGGCCTGTTCGGCTCCACCTCCTTCCCGAGGTTTCTAGGTGACCAGCACCTCAGGTACCTCTGAGCTTGTTGCCAGGGTTCAGGCAGCCTGAGGGGATGAGACTGACTGAGAGGTGTCTAGAGCCCTGGTTTCACGTTTGCGAACTTGGAATTGCCTTGTGAATCCAGAAAGGCACCTCAGTGCACACGGAGGGTTTGTGGAGCACACTGCCAGAGTGTGGGCCGGGCCTAATCCAATGCATTCATAATATCCACCGTGAGAGCTGGGCACAGTGGCACACACCTTTAATCTCAAATACTTATGAAGCAGAGGCAGTCGAATCTCTGTATGTCTCCACAGTAAGTTCCAGGCCTGCCACAGTTACGCAGCGAGACCTTGTCTCAGGAAAAAAAAATCGCCATAGATGAGACAGAGTGCACAAGCTTTATTCATTTTAGACTGTTTCCTCATTCTATGAGGAAACAGCTCAGAAAACCCTGTCTTTTTCAAAACTGTTTGAATTAGAATTGAGGACATAGGACATTAGATCTGTAGAGAGCACACCTGCCATGGTCACAGTGGAGCAAGGGAGGCTATGGATCTGTACTCAGCAGGTGTGCATGGGCATTTTTAGGTTTGTGAAAACAGTAATAGGATTCTTTAAAAGCTTGTAACTCAGGAGTTGGAAAGACCCGTGAGTGGTTTAGAGCACTTGCTCTGGCACAGGACCTGGGTTTGATTCCAGCACCCAACCCATGGCTCACAACCATCTATAGCTCCAGTCCCGGGTGATCTGATGCCCTCTTCTGGCCTCAGATGGCACTGCAAGTGTGGGGTGCACAGACATAAACGCATGCAATAAAACTCATACACACAAAATCATAAAATAAGTTTTTTGAAACAGGGTTTCTCTAGTCCTGACTGTTCTCAAACTTGTCTGTAGACCAGGCTGGCCTCCAGCTCACAGAGATCCTCCTGCCTCTGCCTCCCAATTGCTGGGATTAAATATGTGCATCTATCTACCATCTATATATCTGTCTATCATCTATCTGTCTTCTGTCTGTCTATCTATCTATCTATCTATCTATCTATCTATCTATCTATCTAGTGGTACTGGGGGTTGAACCTGGAATGTTTTGCCACCATGCCACATCCCAGGCAAAATAAAACAAAATTTAAAACATTGCTGTAGATTCAGCTGTAGGCTTTGGAGGTAGGTGGCTCTGATCTGAAGCCCACCTGTCATTTACTTAGGAAAGGAACCTCACAGAGTGACCCTTCCCATTGTGACAGGCATCAGCTTCACTGGTGTTTGATGAAAGAGAGAGCAGACACACCCAGAGAGGGAGCTGAGACCTCCTGCACCATCTGTGGCCCCTCCTTGTTATTCCAGCTCCCAGTCAGGGCAGGACCCAGGGTCTCACTCCTGAGACTGGGTCTGAGGGAGGGCCTGGCTCTGCCCTGAATTCCCCTCCCACACCATAGCACCTTGCCCCAGAAGAGAGCAATCAGACTGACTCTGGGAAAGCTTCTGAGCCTTTGGGCCCACTTGCAGCCCCCACCCCAACCCTTAGTCATCACACAGACTAAGGAAATCCCACAGACCTTCTACTGTCATCGTGGAGCTGATTTCGGTTCTTCAGAAGCTCTCCACCCAGGCAACTCAGGCTCACTTGGGTTTCTGTGACACTGTGGGAACATCTAGAGAGGACCTCTGAGAACTGTGGGGCCAAAAGAGAGATTCCCGTTTTGGGGTCCTGAACTCAGGGCTATGCTGGGCAAGCTGCAAGACCCCACCCCCACCCCTATTCCTATAAAGCTCTTGGCTCACTCACAGTCTGTAGCCTGGACCTCAGTTCTGTGGCCTCCTTTAGTTCCTGGAAGTCGGGCATCTCAGCCCCACTGCTGAGCCTGGAGGGGAGTGAGGATAAGGCTATGATGGAGACTCAGGAGGCAGGTGAAGGGGTAGAGGGCTCTGAACCCAAACACTGGGCACAGCTTCTTTGTGACAGTCTTGTTGGCTTTTTCGGGGAGTTTAGAGCTTGAGACAGAAGGACCAACTGACATGGGCCCTCCCCACCACACTAAGGTTGTGATGTTATTGTTGAATACTGCAAAGAATAAAAGTTGAAGTAGATCCATCAATGTACAAGTCTACAATGCAAGGTAGCTATTAGTAAACTCCTTGCTAGAAAGTTCTACAACTAAATAGAATGAAATTCTTCCCAGTAGAAACTGTATTTCTTGACAACCAATAGCACATTAATGGGAGGGTCCCGGCCTACAGTAGTCCAGGACTTGGAACATTAGCATCCCGTTGCCCCAGTGAAATGACTGACACTGAACTCCACCAATAATGATCAAAAGGTGGGTATTTGCAAGGTGGCAAAGTAGCACTAACCTAGTTGTTTTTTTGTAGGAAAAAAAATGTACCTACACAGTAAAGAAATCAGATGACCACTAGCTGTGGTGTGTACACAGGTATTACCTACCCCATGCAGTCTGTGGTGTGTTCTAACACAAAATTTTAACTTGACTCCAACAGTCCGTGGAGCCCCTAACTTACCAAAGATGCATGGGGGGAAGAAGACGCCAAATGACAGCAAGAGAGAGCTCTGTGAGCCTGAGGGTGGGACAATGACCCGGAGCCTCCAATAAGCCAGTGGCACGAAAGCAAGGGAGGGGAAGAACTTAAAAATAAATAAATAAAAGAAACTCAAGGAACAAGACTACCAGAAACAAATGTGGTCCTGGACTGGTTCCCAGTTTGGTCAAAACAAGCTGTAAAAAGAAACTGTAGGACAGTTATGATAGAAAATTTCCAGTCGTGATGGGTACAGAGGGGATGTAAACGTGGTGATGGCAGGGGGCCACCAGCTGAGAACAGCCTGCTGGTGACAGTTTATAGTTTATAGACAGAGGGGATGCAGTGTGGTGACTAGGGTCTGGGGGGAGGTGCCCCCGCACTTCCAGCACACATTTTTTTTTAAGATTTTTTCTCTTTTTAATTTTTTTCATAGAATATATCTTAATCATATTTGTCCCCTTCCCCAACTCAGATCTTCCCTGGAGCCCTACCCATTCAACCTCATGTTCTTTTTTCCTCTTAAAAAAACAACAACACGAAAATAAAAATAAAAACAACCGGCCAATAAGACGAATGTTAAAACAAAAAAACAACAACCATGGAGTTCATTTCATGTTGGCCAATTATTCCTGGTCATGGAGCCTGCTGGGGAGTGGTTGTTGTACCCTGTGCTACTCCATTGAAGAAAGCTGATTTTCCCTTTGCTGGCAAGCATCAATTGCAAAGGGCTTTTTGGTTAGGGGTGGGACCTGGTGTCCACTTCCCTTTCTCAGACATTATATTCTCTCTCTCTCTCTCTCTCTCTCTCTCTCTCTCTCTCTCTCATAGGGTCTCTCTGTAGTCCTGGCTGTCCTGGAACTTGCTTGTTATATAGACCAAGCTGATCCTGCTGCCTCTGTCTCCTAAGTGCTGGGATTAAAGACATATGCTGCCATGGCCAGCCAGAATAGTCTTTACATAATAACAATTAAGAGGGCATGCTGCATCTTTTTGCATGGGTCACAGAAGGATGGAGGAGGAGACCAGAGTCTCAGGAGTCAGCTGAGGCTCCACGAAGGAGGGGATGCTGTATGCTTTACCCACTAGAGAGCTCCAGGGCCCGGCAGTGTACAGCACACAACAGTTATCCCACGTGGGAAAGCTGACTTGTTGAGGGAGTAAATTTATATTGTTAGGGGCTGGGTTGGGGGATACCTCAGGATTGCTGATGTCCTAATGTCCAGATATCCCTCCAGCCAGAGACCTTCAGGACAAAAGATAGGAAGGCTGCCTTGCCAAGAAAGCACAGTGAAGAAAGAAAGGGTGGGCAGGCCGGAAGGAGCTGACACTCTGCTACCAGCCCTTGAGGAATCTACAGGTCTGAGGGTGTCTAGGAAAGAATGGGATTGCAAAGTGCTGTACCGGGAGGCTTCAGATATTGGCAGAGAGGCCCAGGAAGGGAGAGGTACTGATGGCCTGTGGTCTCCTGCAAGGCAGGAAAGAGATCACATCTGGTCTCTGGCTCTATGTGGGCCCCTCTGCTCTCTCCTCTCCTCCACACACCTGACACTCCTGGCCTCAGATCTTTGGAGCCAGAGTGGAAAATCTGGCTAGCCAATACCTGTCACCTACAACCTGTCGGTCTAGGGCAAGGGGCAGACAGATGTCTGACACCTTCTTCCACACATCTCTGCCCAGATTGAGAACCCACAGATGGTCACTGTGGTCAGTTTTTTTTTGGTACCAACCTCTCTAAAGGGACCCCCAGGCCTCCATGCCTTCGCCACCCACCTCTCTCCCTGACTTCACTCCCTTTCATCCCCCACCAACTTAGGCTTTCTGGGCTTCAAATCTTGGTGCCTTAGCTCCTATCCCGAGAGAGTCCTTGGCCAGGCTCCTATGCCAAGGAAGGATTGACTGCACCAGGCAGCAAGACCCTTCTGTGGGGCAGATGCCAATCCTACCCTTAGGTCTCATCTCTGTACCCTGCAGGAGACTAGCCAGAGGACGTCCAACAGGAATGCTCCTGATGGCTTCCACCCTGAGTCACCATCAAAAGGGACTCAGCCACAATGGGCCCCAGTCTCGTCATCTGGAAACACCCTTCTTCCCTTTATCCCCCACCCCCCACCCTTTCATCAGTCATCAGTCTCTGCTGGCCCTGGGCTCATATAGAGATCCAGCCCACCCTGGGAAACTCCCTGCACTTCCAAGGGAAAGGCTCAGGTTATTGGGGCTTGGGGAGTGGGGACTTCAGGAATGTTGTCACCGCTTGTTGGGAAAGCTTCCCTGTGCTGTAGAACTCTCATCTGTCAGCACCTCCGCCCTCCACCTTTCAGGATTCAGGCTATGTTCACTTCTCAACAGCACCCTGACCAATGGAGCTTTCCTCATTCTTTGTCTCCACCACCCTTCACTAGCTTAGCTTCCTTCCTTCCTTCCTTCCTTCCTTCCTTCCTTCCTTCCTTTCTTCCTTCCTTCCTTCCTTCTGGGATCTACCTTTCCACCTCAGAAGGCCCAGAGTGGAAGACCCAGAGGAAATATGAGTGAAGCTGTGGAGGCTGAGACAGTCTGGATTTCTGTCACTGGCCATGTGCAGGGACAGTACCGGGGAACGAGCCCTTCCTCTGAATTCTCTCTGGGGCTTGGTACAGAATGAGTGTTTCAAATCATTCAAAGTCCTGGTGAATTAAGGCCCTACCTGGGGTAGGGGAGCTGCTCTTCCTGGGGCACAAGAAGATACTACCCTTTTTGGGGGTCAGAGGCTGCCCTTCCAGAGGTAAGGGACTGTCCTGGAGCCCACAGAGGCAGTGCCCACGTGGGTCTCTCCCTGAAGGAGGCAGGGCTGAGCTGAGGATGGGTACTAATTGGGAAGAGAGGCTATGAAGGACGGGATGAACTTTTGAATGCTGCAGGGTGTGGGAACTCTGGTTGGGGGAAGACCGAGGAGCAGAGAGGAGAGCTGAGGGGCCACAGCTGGCCTCGGTGGAACACCCACCTTTCAATGCCCAGGCTGCTGCTGAGGAAGGGGAGGGCTGTCCGCGTGACCTCCAGGGTCTGCTGGCACGTGCTCTGAAGTATCTCCCTGTGTGAGGGCAGCCCTAGTCAGAGCCACCTTGACCAGGGCACACGGCCTTAGAGAGGGACAGAAGAGGTCTGATGGGTATGCTATGCCCTCCTCCAAACCTCCACAGTACTCACAGGACCCAGTGTAACCCTCGAAGCATCAGCACCTGCCCATCCAGCAGGACCCGCGCCAGCCACAGGGCCTGGTAACCAGCGCCCAGCACCCCCTGAAACACACAGATGGGCAGGTCAGGCCTTCCCCTGTGTCAAACCCCCTTCTGCCTCCTGGGGGCTGCCCCTCACCTTAGCTGTGTTGTAATCTGACTGTAGGTCAACCTTGGGGACGAACTTTGCGACGTCCAGAGCAGCTGCAGACAAAGATCCTACCTGAGGGGGTCTGCTTCTATGGACTGGGTCAACTCTTTCCTCGTTCCCGGATCACAGTCGCCCCTCACTGCTGTTCTCCCATCTAAAGCTTCCCAACTCTCTTGGTGGCCTGCACCTTGACCCAGTAGATCTTCTAAGTATCGGTTCTCTACTGCCACCTTGTGGTCATCTTTGAGAACTACACCCTAAAGCTCAACGCCCTGCCTCTCCCGCCAGTAGACCCACACTACTAGACTCTATTCTCTTGCAAGTTTAAAGCCCCCTCCCCCCACTCAGAGGAGGACTAAGCATAATCCAAACGAGAAGGAATATCTCTAGAAATTAATGAAACAAAAAAGGCTATGGTCTCGGCCCACCTGCCCTTCTCTCCAACAGCCCAAGCTACCCAAAGCATCCCCACCAATCAGAGACTGTTGAGGGCGTAAGGGCTCCAATGCCCCATATCTGTTGGAGGACCTGGGGAAAGCCAGGAAAGTCTAGTCACCAGATCAAGTCACGTGGCAACTCAGAGGTATGTGTAGAATTAAAACCCAAATTTACTTCTATTGTGTGGGCCAGAGAAACATTTACTAAGAAAACAAGTCATGCCCTGGGTTGTAAACCCAAATGTTCTGGAGGAGAGTGTTTCAGGTATAAAAGATTCAGCCCAAATGGCCCTACTCACGGTCCCTGAAGGTCAGGCCCTTGGGTGTGTCACTGGCCATGCTGAACAGAACCAGGGGGCTGCTGGCGGCTGTAGGGGCAATGTGCTGCGCTGAGAGGCTTGGCTCAAGGACACAAGGGTGACCCTCAAAGAGGTACTCCTGGTGTTTGGGGGGCACGTTGGTCTGCTCATATACAGCCTCAAAAAAGATGGCAATCCTAGACACATGAGAGGAGGGAGGTGTCAGGAAGCACCATGGGGAGGGCTCAGCTTTGGGGGTAGGGTTCAGGGAGTAGCTTTTTCATCAAAGATGGAGAGGCCAAAGGCAGAGTTCATGCAAAATGGGAAGGGGACCCAGGAGTTCCGATGCCTAGCCTCTGCCTTTGTGTCCAATCCTGCTGTACCCTCATTAAAATTCTCCTGATCCCGTATGGTGACCCTGGTGCAGGCAATCCCAGCTCTTAGAAGGCTGAGGCAGGAGGATAGAGTTTGAGGTCAGCTGGGCTACACAGCAAGACCCTGTCTCCAACAGCAAAGACCAAGAATTTAGTGAGTGAAGGGGTTCTATGAAAAGTACGTCCTAAACCCAGGAAATGGAGCGTCCCACCTCTGAGACTGAAAAGCCCAGGCTAGCACTGTAAAGAGTACAGAATGTAGAACACAAAAAGGAAGTCCGTTTGACTTGAACTTGGTGGAAATAGTACTTTTTCCACACGGGTTTTGGGAGATGCTTCCCTGGGTCCACACCACGGCTTAGACAGCGGTAGAAGGCGGCGGTGGGGGTGGGGTGGGGGTCTTATTCCCTTTCTCTGCTGTTCCCACTCACGTGTTGTGGGCATGGATGTAGACATGATGCAAGACCGCCTGGGGCAGGGAGAAGACATGGATGACAATCCGCTGCAGGATGTCACTGGTCTCTGCAAAGAACTGGTCGAAGCCCCAGCACTTAGCTTGCTCTACCTCCAGGATGTTGGCCAGGATGGGTACCAACTGGTTCTGCAGCCCCCTGCACACACACAAGACATAAAAACTGTCAGAGCTAAGGCCCAAGCATCTAAATGGAACTTTCCAGGCTACAGAAGAGACGTGGAGGACCCCTGGGCTCTGCTGATATAGGTAGCTTCTCAACAGAGAGAAGAAGATTCTAGCTTAGATTCCATAGAGTCTGCCCCTCTCACTTACATGGACAATCTGCAGGTGATGGGGAGGCTATAGCTCCACTCCAGGGGCCCGTTTTCCTGCCTCTGAGTCCCTGAAATGGCCCCGGATGGTTTCTCTGTGGTGATTCTGTACCTGCAGCGGGACAGAATTAGGCCACTAGACCCACACCTCCACACCACCCACCCATCACTCTCACCCACCATACAGTAAGACACAATGAACTCCCAACACAGCACAGTCCATGTCACCCAGCCATGTGAGGGAGGCTGGAAGGTGAAATCGGGGCATCCTGGCTCTACCTGCGAGCTCAACTCTGCCCAGTCAAGCTGCTTGCTGTAGACAGAGCCCTTCTCACCGTCACTATGGCTATGCCAAGTCCAGCTACCTCCACATCTGTGCCATGCTGAGCTCAGTGTCAAACATGCTCTCCTCGCTTTTTTGACTCCTCCCCCATCTGTCCTTCCCTGACAGCCTATCCCCCTTGTCCCTAACCCTAATATTAGTTCCATACAGCTTGCCCCAGGACCAAGGGTGCAAGCACCAACCTTCCTGATGGCACAATGATAAGAGAAACACTCTGAGATATCCTCCATTCATTACAAGATCTCCGAGAAAGGAAGAGAAGCTGACCATCTATCAGCTCTGAGGAAACCAACCAAGAACCATTTCACATTCCTGAAGATATGCTGAAAGCATGACTTAGACCCCAGCACTTCTGACTTCCAAGGCCATTGGTGCTCGGCTTCTCTCTACCCCTGAAGACCATTAACTGCCACCAGAGCGGTCACAAGCACTTCTGATGGGCTGCCCTGCAACCCCAAAGCCCTCTCCTCTCAACTGCCCTCTACCTACAGCCAATGTAAACTTCTGCTTTTCTTTTGCAGTATTTATTTATAATGAACTCTTGACACTAGGTCCAGTAGATGTTTTCCCAACGGCCCTCCAGCTAGAACCTTGAGAACTTGTCCCAAGACTCGGTACTTTTTTTTTTCCTACACAGACAGCATCAGAGCTCAGCAGATCCTTGTATCGAAGGGCCCCTCATCTCAGTGGTTTGACACTACATCTCTTTTGTTGTGGGCAGTACATCCTGGAAGTCCCTGTTTTAAGCTCCACCTATCAGTCAGTGAGAGGCACTAGGAAAACCCTAGTTTAAAATCTGGATACCAGCTCCATCTTCATCCCTGCAGGCTCTGTAACCTTGTAAGCCTCCTTGAGCCTTATTGGAGATATGGTGGAATATGAACAGGCCAGGGCTAGAGAGAACACTGAATTAACACAAAAGGGTATAAATGTTCTCTACCAAGCCAGGGGTGTAAGGCTGTACTTCTAGTTTGATTAGCAGTGGCTCTAAAGAGTCAAGGACCCAGTGGGGGAAGGGCCAGGCGTCTGTCAGTAAGAAGTCCAGGGCCTGTCCCCTTCATTCCCTGCCCCATAGCCCACCGTACATGATCTCCTTGTTGCGCCGGGGCCCACCAAAGGGGATGAAGGGCAGACTACCGGTGGCTGCATGGTACAGGGTCACCCCAATACTCCAGAGATCCACAGTCACCCCGAACGCCTTTTGCTGGGGTTTGCGAAGCACTGCCCGCTCATACATGTCAGGGTGCTATGGGAGAAAGGTAGAGAGTAGCCATGGGGGGACAGTGTGGGCACTCCTAGGGGACTCTTAGGGAGGCACAAAGCAAGGGGCCATCAGCTTGGGGCAGAGGGTCTCCAACACGTCACTTACCAGGTATTCCTCTGTACCATAGACCGAAACAAACTTCTCCTCGTCGTCCAGCTTCCGAGCAGCCCCGAAGTCAGACAGCTTATAGATGCTCTGTCCCTCCTCTCCCACCAGCCGCATGATATTCCCGGGCTTGATGTCCCGGTGGACAATGCCGTTCTCCCGTAGGTGGTTCATGCCAGCCACTGGGGACAGACAGAGCTCTACTAGCTTGGCTCAGCTAGGTCAGTCTAATGTCTGAGGTTTGTGCTGCTGCTGAGTCTGTGCTCACATCCAAATAGACAGGGAGTTGCCACGGGGAACTCAGGGGCACAGGGAAAACGGAAGAACAGAGAAGCCCACAGGGCTGAGAAGGGGCTGGAGAAATGGATCATCTGTTAAAAGCACTGGCTGGTCTTTCAAATGACCCTGGTTCGATTCCCAGCACACAACTAGAACTCCAGCTCCAGGAGATCCAACCCCCTCTTCTGGTCTCTGCAGGCACCAGTCACACATGTCATGCATAGACGTGTGCAGGCAAAAAACCCACACACATAAAGGAAAAATAATTTAATACAGTTTTCAGGGGGGTGGAGAGAAGGTTCAGATTAGAGCACTTGCCACTCCTCCTGAGGACCCGAGTTCAGTTCCCAGCACCCACATTGTGGTTCACATCTGTAACTCCAGGTCCAGGAGATCTGAAGTCCAGTATTGGTGTCACACGCCTTTAATCCCAACACTCGGGAGGCAGAGGCAGGCAGATCTCTGTGAGTTCGAGGCCAGCCTGGTCTCCAGAGCGAGTGCCAGGACAGGCTCCAAAGCTACACAGAGAAACCCTGTCTCGAAAAACCAAAACAAACAAACAAACAAACAAGAAAACCCAAAACAAAAATCCCATCATTGAAAACATTTGAGTTTGGATATGTTTCACGGCATAGCCTGGAATTCCTGATCAGCCTGCCTCCCCGTGTGGGGAGAACCAACCAGGCCCTTCAGTTGAACTGTTTTTAAGTACACAGCTCAGTGGCATTAAGCACATGCAAACATCAACAACACTCACCTGCAGAGCCTTCTCCTCCTCCCCAGTGGAGTCCCCGCCTATCTAACTGGACTCCTTACTTCCAGCCCTGGACAGCATTCCACCTCTGTCTGTAGCAACTCCCCAGGGAGCTGGGCCCAGGTGAAGTGTGGTTTTGCCTTTGTATGGCTGGCTCATGCCTCAGTGCAGTGTCCTTCAGTTCCATCCACACTGCCTTGTGAGTTAGAATTCCCTCCCCTGTACAGGGAGGGATACTCCACTGCCTACAGGTACCTAACCCTGTTAGGCTGTCCTACCTGTTGAACACCAGCAAACAATCTTTTTAGAATTTTCTTCCGACAGCTTTGAGCTGAATCAGTCACGTGGGTCCTTCTGGCCCACCCCTTTGCCTCAGGCCCACTGGGATGCCTGTTCCAGAATATCACACTCATCCTGGTGATTTTGCGGGTGGTGTAGAGGGCCTAGGCCTGGGGACGGGGTATGGCTCACCCACACAGCGTAGTACCACCAGGAACTCCTCCTCAGGAAGCCCAAATGTGTTCTCGGGGTCTTCCAGCACACTCAGCAGGCTCCCGCTGGAGCAGTATTCCATCACTATCACCTTCTGCCGGCTGCCTCCCTGTGCACAGGACAGAGCAAGCTTTGGGGAGGAGGGTACTTCCCACTTCCGCTGTCGGGAGGTTGCTTACCCAGCGCCCTCATTCCCGGGATGCAGCTTCTTGCCTGGCCATCTTGCTATGCATCATACCCATCTCAGACACTGGAACCCAAGGCTACCTTTCCCGAGAAACCCTTTCTGATTAGGCACTGATTCCCACACCCTTGGTTTCCTTATCACCCCCCCCACACACACACACACACCGGTGTCTCTGGACCGCCAATGAGCATGACTTGCCTATCCCTAGACCGCAAAGGTTATAAGATCAAGAGCATCCTTCGCTGACCAAACCGAGAGGACCCACCGTTTCCTCCACAGCGAACAGCTTGACGACATTCTGGTGATCCAGCTTCCGCAGCACCTCAAACTCCCTCACTTGCACCTCAGGGGGGCGCCGGTAGCTGGCTGAGTTGAAGACCTTTACAGCAACCACTTCCCCAGATTTCTGGTGTGTGGGCATAGGGTGGGGGATCAACACGGGGACC